TACATGTACAACTTCAACAAGTACGTCACATTTTCAAGAAAATGGCTGCGCCCATATCATGCTGAAGGCATCACATCATGACAGGAATATCTTCATTTATATATATCTTGTACATTTTCGTAAGGAATATTGTACATCAAAGGGCAGGAATACATCTCATTTTTTAGAATACCTACACTTATTCTTTGGGTTTAGGTTTCCTTTAAGAAGGAATCAACCCGACTCAGGCTTCGCATGTCATTGATATATTAATTCCTCAAACCTATCCTGATAGTTTTTACAAAAAATCGCAAAGCTGACAAACATCAAGCATAATATGTCTTTGTTTATTTCTGTGAATTTTTAAAATTACAAGATATTCGGGCAGAGAGGTCTCGGATTGCTCGTAGAGCTTTGACGGTACGGAGTAAATTGAAAATCTCAATAACTTTTCTTGGCTTTGTTAATTTAAAGCAACTGCAAGAGGTGTCTACGGACATTTAACTTTCGCGTTGGATTTTTAGCTTAAAGCAACTGCAAGAGGTGTCTAAAGATATTTAATTTTCGCGTTTGATTTTAGCTCTTAATAAATGTAATTTCCAGTGATATATTGACTTTAAAGACCAATTTATTGTGGACAACAAGGTGGCTGTTTTGTTAAGGAAGACGCCCCATTTCTTTATGACATGTGCAATATTGCATTCTACTTAATCACATAATATGCTTATACTGCTTCAAAAGGCAAATTCAAATACATAAATTATTAATTGTTAACACAAATAGACGCCCTTTTTCAGATAGCGATGTTTACAGAAATATCATAGATCAGCATGAAACTGATAGTGTATATATAGTTGCAAAATAATCAAACAACTATGTGTGTGGGGGGGGGGGGGGGGACAAAGAGAGATATGGGAGAGAATATATGGGTGAGAGAGAGGGAAGAGAGAGTGGGGGAGGAGAGAGGGAGAGAGGGGGAGAGAGGGAGAAGACAGGAGGAGAGATGGAGTTGGATGGGAGAGAGGAGAGGGGAGCTTGAAATGGACGGGTTGGATTTCTAAAATAACCTTCCAGTTCAATACCAAGGAGTACATTTTTAACATTTTTTGTCTAACTTTCCCTACTATTTGTACAATATTGTTTAATTTGTTTATTATAGTGTTGATCAACCTCAACCATACATCTAGGGAGTAGACTGGTTATTGTTATAGATATAATGACTGCTATTAAAAGGATAGTTGTTTATAGGCTCTTGGGGACGTTACATCCCGCTATCACTCCGAGGCGTGCCAAGGGGTGATAGCATTATATAACTTCCTCAAGAGCTTACAGAAACAAATATGCCTCGAACATTAAAGCAGTCTTTATATCTTTTTTTATACCGAATTCACAAAATAATCTATACAAAATTCTTACCTTATCCTTTTCTTGAGTAAAGACTGGTTAAACTTAAAACATCACAGAAAATCTGAGACACTGTCTGTAAATCTTCGCTGGGAAGTTGCCTGAATGTTACAATCATTCGGGAATCGCACACACACTGTACTGTATTTTGTAGCCGCGCTCGCACAAAGAAACTTTTTAAATGTAAACCAATGGGGATCTCACCAAAAATTCAATCATGTCGCCCGTTAACCGGGGCATGCGGGCATCTTTTAAGAGACTATTGACCGGTAGTCGGGCATGGCTAGACCCCCGACTCCAAATTTGACCAATAAGATGGCTAGATTTCTAAAGAGAGGTATATAACAGTTTCTATTTCCTATTCTACTTCCTTTTGCATTGTATTACTCTACTTTATATTCAGAAGATGACAATGTTCAAGTTCTTAATTCACACTTTCCTTCTCTCTCCATTTCATTACCCGCTTACTCTCTTGTACTCCCCTTTCTCTCTCTCTCTCTCTCTCTCTCTCTCTATCCGTCTCTATTCTATGACTACGTACACTCTCATCCTCTTTCGTCAAAAATAATGACAAGGTCAATGCAAACTACAAGGACAACCATTTACCTTTTATTTAGTTTATTTAGTCGACAGGGGAAGATTGCATGGTAGTCCTCTCAATATAGACTATTACGCATGATCTGAATTTCAAATCCAAGTAATCAACCGACGAGTATATGGGGTTGTCTGAAAATGAAGGGTATGAGAAGGATAAGGATGTGCCATCAATTTATGCTGATAGAAGTTTTTTTTATTTACATATCGAAACATGATACATTTTGATGGATAAGTGGACTCATTGAAAAGTTTAATCATTTAAGAAAAAACGTATCCGGACAATAGTGGGACTTTGAACACACCAGTTCATCAAGAAGATGCATGTGACTGCCTAGAGCAGAAAATTGTATTCTTAAAGAATAAAAGGAGAAAAGAGTGATTTGCACTGTCCACAGCTGACTCTAAAGTAAATGAAAGATAAATAGATGTCGAAATGTCTTTCTCAAAATGCACTCCCATTTCTATCTCTCTATGATAGATAGATCAATATGGATCAATCTTTTTCCTTCTTTTATTTTTAAATGCAAATAGGGCCTGCTTGTTTGAACGACGGTAATCTTGATATTTCTATAAACAACGCTCTTTATTAAAAAGAAAGGCCCGATTCGGTTTATCTTTACAATGATTATTCAGGCTTGACGTATTGAAAGATAAATGCTTTTGAAGTGTTGATTTGTTGCTTTGATACATTGCTACTACACACAGAGCATAGGGAAGGGGGGATAACTGTTATAAGCTACTGAAACAAATACCTTCTTCTCCTCCTTCTTCATCTTCTCCTCCTTCTTTCATTTTTCATTCATTCTTTTCAGTCATTCCTTTCACCCATTCACCCTTATGCAGAGATGCCAACCTCTTGACACAAAAAAAACAGACTGAGTATCCTACAAACAAAAAAAAGATTTTCACGAAAACTCAACACTACCACCGGCCTGTCGGCCCCGTGCTAGTAAAATTGCAGAAAAATGTGTTGCTGGTAAGTACGTTCAAATAAAATGTTTGCTCTTTCATTAAAAATAATGAGAAAATTGTATTTAAAGCAAAATTTTGGTTGAGGTTGCGGTGGTTTACTTGTACATGTTTCTATGCAATTTTTTTTTGTTATGGGTTAAAAAAAATAAATGAAAAATCGTATTTTAAGAGGTGATATCGTATGATCGTATTTCACACTTAATATCTTACTAAATACGATTTAATCGTACTGGTTGGCATCTCTGCTTATGTATTCACTCGTTATTTTACTTTCCTTCCCATCACCTACCGCTATCTCGGATATGTCGTTATCTGTCATGTTACCTTTCCTCATTCTTACTTCTCTAAATATTTCTCAACAATACGAGACAATGGATTGGTTTACTAACATATTCAGATGTATGGATGTTTCTTTCCTGGCGACTTACCAACGATTTATTCCATTAACCTGTTATTAATGAACGAACTACAATACTTAAAATCCAGTCTGCTTACATCACATGTTGCTATGTTGGACAAGCCTCAGGCATGTTTGCAGGTTGTCAAGAGCAACCTTTGTATGCACACAATTTGAATACGGTAGTAAACGGGTCCTTTAACAAAGGCCTATGCATTAAATGAAACTTCATTACAAAAATGGCCAATTCATAGTTGTTCAACACTTTTGCGGTAATTAAACAGAGCTCATGTGAACTAGAAAGTACTACACTATACACTACTTAAGACCAAAGAAAAACACTAATAATGTTCTGTTGTAGTATAATGCATATCACATTATGATATAACGCCACTATGCGTTTCTAAAGGACTTTAAGATTTTACTACCCCGACTTGAGCTCTGGTAACCGCAGTGCTCAGTGCATTCAAGGAATGCATCCTACCAAGTACCCACTTACTACACCTGGGTTGAGTGTGGCAAATGCAGATTAATGTCTTGCCAAAGGACATTAGTGCCACGGCAGGATTCAAACCCTGTACCTTGTGGTGTACATTCCGTAGACTCAGGGCCTAATTTATATATCTTGCTTGTCAAGGTAAAAATAGTAGGATAAAAGGAACTGGCAACTATGTCCAGTTCCTTTTATCCTACTATTTTAATAATGAGTAGGAAAATCACTGCAAAAATTAGATATAACAGTGGTCTTTATACAAGAGAGTACAAGGCTCTAATTTGAGATAAGCAGGATAAAGTTCCGGACAAATATTATAGAGGAGAGAAGTGGTAACGTTTTGAATGGGGTTGATCAGGTCGCATACGATTTGCTAACAATTGAGCTAAAGTTCCAAACCAGTAAATTATCACGAGTGGTCCTCTGTCACGCGTTCTATGTCACGCCAATTCCAATGTCAAGTGGCCTCTATACTGATCGCAATGTATCTCTGTTCATATAATAAACCTTTGGAATCCTCTCTTGGACTTCGTGGCACTGATTGCCTTCCATACACCCATCTCATTTGAGATATCAGAAAGCAAGACATACTGTGACAGACCATGAACGCTACGCCATATATAAGTGGTCATTATCATATCCTTTCTCATCTTCGACTACATTTATCCATGTTCTTATCAGCAACCTTTAGAATGCATTCTCTGAATTCTTGGCACTGATCGCCTTCTATACAATCATCTCATCTGGGAGGTCAAAAAGCAAGTACAGGCCAAGAAAGGTGCGCCGGGTATAGGCATACGTGGTCATTATCAAATCCTTTCTCATCTTCATCTACATTTATCTCTGTCCTTATCATAAACCTCTAGAATCCTTTCTCTGACTTGTTGGCACTGATCGCCTTCCATACAGCACGTCACCATCTCGTCTAAGAGGTCAGAAAGCAAGACATACTGTGACAGACCATGAACGATGCGCCTGATATAAGTGGTCATTATCACATCCTTTCTCATGTTCAACTACATGTATCTCTGTTCTTATCATAAACCTCTCGAATGCTTTCTCTGAATTCTTGGCACTGATCGCCTTCTATACAACCATCTTATCTGAGAGGCCAGAAAGCAAGAACAGACCATGAATGCTGCGGATGATATAAGCATCGGTATTCATTATCAGATCCTTTATTATCTTCCACTATCTCTGTTCTTATCATAAACCTCTAGAATCCTTTCTCTGACTTGTTGGCACTGATCGCCTTCCACACAGCTAGTCACCATCTCATCTAAGAGTTCCGAGCCCAGAAGATACTCTGGCACACCATGGACGGTGCGCCCTCTACGATGGTCAGTGATCCTGTCCTGCTGGTAGTTATAGGTTCGGATCTTCTCAGAGCGCCCCCCTGTGCCGACCTGGGAACTGCGGATGGATCGCTCAGAGCTGGTCTGGTCTGCCAGAATGCGGTTGTAGATACGAGTCTGGAGCATCGTCATGGCAATGAAACGATTCTTGTGCTGGGAACGTTCCTGTTGACTTTCAGCTGAGATGCCTGATGCGGGACAAAAAAAAGATTAAAGAAAAAAAAAAAAAAAAAACAATCATTAAACTTGTATTTGTTTTGCTTAATCACTTTTGATTCAACCTCCCCCAGATCAAAAACATAAAAGACCAATGGCTAACTAGATCAGCGACACACAAGACCAACGGCTCACTAGATCAGTGACCCACAACCCATTGTTGATGACTTAGGTCGTCTTGTGGATAGTAATATACAAGTGTAAAGGAGGCGTTATAATACCTGTTGGTAGATGAGTAATTCTGACAGCACTGTCTGTTGTGTTCACATGCTGTCCTCCCGCTCCACTAGCTTTCTTGGTCTCCACCCTCAAATCTTTAGGGTCCAGTTTCAGATCAATCTACAGTGAAAAGAAAATTGTCATTTTAACTGGATTCTTGCAATCTCTATGAAATACATCCCCTTTACTTTTCTATGACTTTACAAGAGTTACAAAGATTCCAAACCAACTTTTTCGAATTTGGGAACTTATAGCACCACTTTATATTAATCTGAACAATGGAGGTAATGAGCATGCATTTGGACAAAACAAAATGTCTCCGCTCTTGTTTTCCCGACATTGGTCTCTGAAGGGATGCACTTAACTTTTTTTCTTACAATGAACTATCAAATATGTTAATTCTGTAGATTTGTGACGTCCCTTGAGAGACCAATGGTGAGAGTAACCAATGGCATGAATTGTCTGCCATAGTTCAAGCCCAACTTAAGTCAATCTTAGTCTTTGTGAAACACCCCGCATGTCACATATGTAATAAGCTATTTTGAATTTTGGAGAATTGAGATATAAGAAGAGAGAAGAAGAGAAAGAAAGGAAGAAAAAGGGATATGGTCAGCAGTTTCCAAAATTTGATGACACAGGACTTGGTGAAAGACCACTAATGGGGATTGAGGTCTTGCACAAGGCGAAATGGAAGTTCCTAAAGAGATATCCCTGTCCTTTTTTCCCCAAGTGATTCTTTGAATAAGGGAAATATATGATGACTTTTCCTTATGGGGTGATTGGTGGAAATTGTAGAGCAATATGTATAACCTGGGGGTGTTTCACAAAGACTTAAATCGACCTTAAGTTGGACCTAGCTATGGAAGGCCACTCATGCCACTGGATGCTCTCACCATAATAATCTTTAGATAATATTTTTTCCTTCAATAATGAACTATCAAAATATAGAAATTGTGTAGATTTGTGACCATGGTTTGTACGTTTCTTGAAAGACCAACGCCAGTAAATGGTGAGAGAAAAGAGTGGCATGAACGGCCTACCATAGTTAAGTCCAACTCAAGGTCGATCTGAGTCTTTTTGAAACACTCCCTTGTTAGTTATAAAAAAGAAGGCTGTACCTAATGATTAATAACATCTAACCTAGGTACAGAAACGGGTGTTGTCAAAATCACTTTGACAGCCGATACTTATTTGTCTTTAACCACTTGACTGCTATTGGCTTAAAACACCCCTGTGCTACAGCATTTTTGTACTGTACAAAAACTTGACAAAAACTGTACACAAAAAAAAGAGCCAGATTTTTTTGGAAGAGCGCCATCTACTCTTCGAAACCTGCATAACATCATTGCAGTGTTAATTACACAGTAGGGCTTGGCATTATGCAGTGATACAGTCTTGAAAGTGCAATGCCTTAAGCACGTACATGTACATGGTACGCACAGGCATGCGAGAGCGAGAACATGTACATGTACGTCGGTAGCAGTCAAGTGGTTAAGCGATTTAAACCGGTACCTCTTTAGGTTGTGGTAGCACCGCTATAGCCATGGTGCTGGTGTGTATACGCCCCTTGCTCTCTGTCCTTGGTACCCTCTGTACTCGGTGCACCCCTGCCTCCTGCCTTAGAAGCAGGTATGCCTGGTCACCGCTCATACTAACACTAGCATGCCTTAAGCCACCTAGGGGAAAAACAGTTATCAGTGGTTTACTCATGTATGCATGACTTAAAACACCTGGGAATAAATAAGGGTATCTTTGTTACTCACATAATTGTGCTGATGATTTAAACCACCTAGGAAAAAAAAAAACAGTTACCTGGGTTACTCATTTAGGCATGCCTTAGAAAAACCGGGGAATTTTTTTATTTTATTGGATACTCGACTCACATTATGCTCATGCATTAAACCACCTAGGACTTTAGTGCCTGCCTGGAATTTGAACCCTCAACCCTGCGACAAGTGAATGTACCATCGTACCACGACGCCATCACCGTATCACGAGTCCTGCAACCACTCACCCATGTCTGTCGTGAAGTACTCTAAGACGCTGAACGTCCATCCTCTGTAAGCTGCGAAACGCTGGTACATTTCAAACATGTCCGCCGCAAACAACATGGCCTCTTGACCTCCGACCCCGGCCGTGAACTCCATGATGACATCGTTATCGTCCGTTTCCTCAGAGGGCAACAGTAGGTCAACCAACTGGGAGAAGAATAGAGAGAGAAGGAGAGAAAAGGTTAATGTATCATATGAATTTGTGTGTACAGACATGGAGAAAATAAATTGTAAAGGCCAAGAATATTACTGTTCATCTTATATCTAGTGTGGGAGGGATATAGCATATATTGACAAGGTACAATTGACGTAGTATGGTATACATTTATAGCAGCATGACGAAAAAACAACTTGTTAGTTTACAATGTTTCATATATACACCCACCAAGACCCTCACACACAATGCACACCCACCCACCATACACATACCCATCCACAAACACCCACACACAAATGCATCAACATTCCCCCACCCCAACAACACACACCCACCCACCATACACATACCCACCCACACACTCACACACACACACCATCACCCACACAACCCACACACATAAACAAACACACCCATACTACAAAAACACACCCACACACATACACAAACAAACCCACAAACCATATGATACAACTTTATTGCAGGTTGGTTTCCTTAAAGGTACTATGTCCCTTTTGCAGCCAACCTCAAATGCTGTAGAACTTTGCAGGAATTATGAATATGTCATGTATGTCCTATCTGTGAAATTTAAACGTTAGCAGTGTCCTCATATTCAAATTATGCAAGGAAACTCGTTTACTTGCTAGACACTGTCAGACACTATTGAGTGACTGACTGGCTTTTTTTCTTCTTTGGTAATAACATACATGAAAAGAGTTGTAAAGGGTACATGAGCATTTGTCTACATCAATAACCCACTTCTTGTGATGGCCAAGATTAAACTGATTGAATCTTTGCGCAGCATAAATCGTCTGACCATTCGGTACAATTGTCTGAAAATCAGGACTATTACTTTTGGGCTCTATAGCCCTAAAGTCGATTTGACAACTAATAGTCATTATTTTCCCACTTGAAGACATTTTCAAGCCCCACCTTTTTTAGGGAAGTTCTAAATTAGTATTATCTTTCAAATGCAGTTGGAATTTAACTTTTTCATTTTTTTGGCCTGCAAATGGGACATAGTACCTTTAATGTGAGATCAAGAAAGTTAGTTAAAAAACCCCATCACAATCTTCTTCAAATTACTGCATATAAAAAAGTAAGCTGCGGATATAATTATGACCGGGCACTACAAAACCAAATTTCTTGGAGTTCTTATCCTTGCACAAACCATTGTGAGTCTGAGTGCTTGAATAGACGACAACATTAAAAAGCCATTTGAAATAAATTAATAATATATTCTGAAAAGACAGGACATTCTGCTCATTTTTTTAATTGGGTTACGAACATATGATTGTGATAAGTAATATATCATCTTAAAGTAACAACAACACACAAATCATATCTGCAGACTTTTGGGTGGTTTTGTGGTGTCTGATCACAATTAACCTTTTGACCTCTGAGGAACCTTAGGCCCTTACCTCTTCTGATATATCAGCAATCTTGGCGTTGAGGTCGTCCTTCTCAGCTGCTGCTAACTCATGCATCTCCTTATCTTGACTGGTATCTGATGGTTCTACAGAAGGAACATAGCAAGGTCAGAACATAGCCTGTCAGAACTAAAACCTAGGCCCCATTTCACAAAACTTGTCATCAGTGACAATTGATAGTTTTTGTTATATGCTACTGAAATCTTTGCTTCTGATTGGTTATCAGCAGATTTGTCACTGACTTTTGTCATTGAAAAAAATGATTTGTGAAACGTTCCCCTGAAGCTGTCATTATGAATGACATTTATTAACATGGAAACCAAACATAAATAAGATGCTGAAGCTCAGATACAAATATCGTCTACTTACGTTGTTATTTGTTTATTGATATTATTTAAAATCATTATAATTCTTCTTCTTTGTCTTCTTCTTCTTATAATTATGCACGATGGTGCAGTGCTCGAGCAGTGGTCTTGTAAATTGGAGGTGTCAGGTTCAAAACCAATCAAGTGGTATCATGGCATTAATCCTCGATCACAAGTCCCTCAGAGAAGACAAAAAGCCATCTATTCCCTGGTTACTTAATTACAAGCATAAGCATGCTTTCTTAGCAGTCTGGTAAAACCAACCAACCAACCAAGCATTATTATTATTATATCATCATTATCATTATTATTATTGTTATTATTATCTTCATTATTACTATCACCATTGTTATTATTATAATTGTTACTATTATCATCATTATTACTATTAAAGCCCGTCTGCACTAGTTTGGCCAGGGGGGAATATACCTCCCTGCAAGGTCACTGACGGGTGGTTATCTCTTTAAAACAGCTCTCAATTAATATAAGAAAAAGGGGATCATGGGGGAACAACAGGCACCGATTAGGCATTGTTTGATATACAGATATAGAGGGCGCAAGGAGCTATAAGTAGTAGAGTGGGGATTTAAATTTATTATAATTATGTCATTACTTTTATTATTATATTACCAATACTATTATTTAGCATTATCATTATTTTTCAGTTGAAGTACCTTCAATAAGACGTTGAAGCTCTGTAATCTCTTCTTCAGCTGACGTTAGCTCCTCCCATTTATCAAGCACAGCTCCCAGCTCCATCATGGATCCTCTTAGCTCCTTCTGCTTGGAGTCTGACATGGGATCCCCTCTCTAACAAACAAACAAACAAACAAACATTTATCAAGTACAGCTCCTAGCTCCATCACGGATCCTCTTAGCTCCTTCTGCTTGGAGTCTGACATGGGATCCCCTCTCTAACAAAAACAAACATTTATATAGCACAGCTCCCGGCTCCATCAAGGATCATCTTAGCTCCTTCCGCTTAGAGTCTGACATGGGATCCCCTCTCTAACAAAAAAACAAACAAACAAACATTTATCAAGCACAGCTCCCAGCTCCATCGAGGATCTTCTTAGCTCCTTCTGCTTAGAGTCTGACATGGGATCCCCTCTCTAACAAACAAAAAAACAAACATTTATCAAGCAAAGCTCCCAGCTCCATCAAGGATCCTCTTAGCTCCTTCTGCTTGGAGTCTGACGTGGGATTCCCTCTCTAAGAAACAAAAAAACAAACAAACATTTATCAAGTACAGCTCCCTACTCCATCAAGGATCCTCTTAGCTCCTTCTGCTTGGAGTCTGACATGGGATCCCCTCTCTAAGAAACAAAAAAACAAACAAAAATTTATCAAGTACAGCTCCCAGCTCCTTCAACGATCCTCCTAGCTCCTTCGGCTTAGAGTCTGACATGGGAACCCCTCTCTAAACAAACAAACAACATGTATCAAGCACAGCTCCCAGCTCCATCACGGATCGTCGTAGCTCCTTCTGCTTGGAGTCTGACATGGGATCCCTGCTCTAACAAACAAACAAACAAATATTTATCAAGCACAGCTCCCAGCTCCATCAAGGATCCTCTTAGCTCCTTCTGCTTGGAGTCTGACATGGGATCCCCTCTCTAAGAAACAAAAAAACAAACAAACATTTATAAAGCACAGCTCCCAGCTCTTTCAAGGATCCTCCTAGCTCCTTCGGCTTAAGAGTCTGACATGGGATCCCCACTGTAACAAACAAACAAACAAACATTTATCAAGTACAGCTCACAGCTCCATCAAGGATCCTCGTAGCTCCTTCTGCCTGGAGTCTGACATGGGATCCCCTCTCTAACAAACAAACAAACAAAGATATCATTAACCTACTTCTGGTGATAAACACAATCAACCAGATACCTAGTTATTCATGTATTTATGTATCAGACAACAGTCTCATGCGGAAATCATCGCTACTATTGTTATTAATGTATCTATTGTATTTCTATTTTCATTTGAAATCCAACATGTTGTTTGTCATAAAGGAATACTACTAATAAAACAAAAACAAGGCCTACTGTTTGTCATATCAATGCATGTACTTGTAACGAGGTATGCATGCAGTCAAATATTTCAACATATTACCCTTCACCTATATCTTGCCATTATGTTGTTTATGCATGCTAAACACTCCATTGCTACTATGTTGCAGTCCTCTTCTTTTCTCTTTCTCCAAGCTCTCTATCCTCTTCTCCTCTTTGCCTATCACTTTCTTCCTTTCTTCCCTTCTTCTATTTATAATGTACTGTATATTGTTTATTTGTGCATTCGGGCGTACCAATTACTAGCTCTGCTTATCGGGTTTCGCCTTCTTCCTTGTAATACAAGTTCTTTATTATATTTATGTTCTTACATACAAATTGTATTGTTTGAACAGATGTTAAATATGTTTTTCAAATTAAATGGAAGAAAATAAATGTTCATTTAAATTGAACATCAGAACCAAAACAGTGATGGGGAAGCTGTGTCTACATCACTGCAACACATGTGCTCCATAATAACCAACCTGAAGTGACTCTGAGATGGCCTGGTGCTCCTTTGTCAGATGATCCATGTAGCATCTGAACTCTGGGCTCTTGGGTGAGAGGGGATCACCAGTCTTGTTTCCAGCACTAGATCCATAGGCCTGCATTCGGTAAAGGGCACTGAGTGGAGACTGGTAATTACTTCTAACATGATCACCTTTCAATGTAGAATACGATGCTCTTGTTGAGAAATGGTGATACATCAGTCTACATTGTGTACTTGCATTTTGATGTGCCAAAGGAGAAAGAATAAGGTTCTTAAGAAAATGATGTGATAGTTGTTTGATTTGTTTCAAATCCATGCGAGAAAAATGTTGTTTAAAAGTTTCTGATGTACTTTGTGAAAATACTGATTTAATCCACACAGTGTGGCAAGTAATTAGCATATTAGGCTCCGCTCCATGTGTCTTTGTACAGGTCCGAAGAAATACCCTGGGCCTTGGCAAATGCTGATGACGGTAGTGTGTTGGAAACACCTGTTGATTAAGGCTACTTGAAGAAACAAGTCTGCATGTGCGTCTGGTGATATGTGTGGTGTGCATACTGCTGTTTAACATCTGTACACGTGAACAAGACATCCTTTTAGGTAGATCTTGGATACACATCCGCCCTGGAGAGAAAGAGGGAGAGAGAGAGGGAGAGAGAGAGAGAGAGAGAGAGAGAGAGAGGGAGAGAGAGAGATTAACTAAAAGATAGACTACTAATAAGGGCCAAAGATGCCCCACCCACTGATCGTGCTTGAGTTGGCCGTTGGGCTGAATCCTAAGAATTAGATCTAGGTCTAGATCCAGTCTATGTAACATTTTTGCACACATCCTGCACTTGTAACAAATAAATGGGAGAACAAAAACAATTATTGTTGAAGCACTTATGACGACCGCTCCCAACCCCTCCCCTCCCCTCCCCTCTCCCCGCCCACGAAACTTGACGCGAATGTTAACATATGGGACTTCACAAAATAAAGGCAGTCTTTCTTTTCACTCTAAAACCATCAAACATAAACAAAATGTATTAAAATGGAAGTAATTCGTGGATAAACTTTGTTTGTTATATCAAAAGCATATATCGGTGGAATATCATATCAGGAATGAACGAAAATATACAAGAAAATGTTCTGGCCTTACCGCAGAGTAGCGCTATGGACGTCGCCATGTTTTCACACGATCACAACTCATCGAGATTGTTCTCAATTCTCGGATACAATAACCCTACCTAGTACCTCAGCAGCAAACCAGATTTGCAAAAAAGAGACACCGGTCTATTAATTTATATCGTTGTTTACTGTATGTCATGTCCGCAGTCCATGATCACCGGGCGTTGAGAAGAGAGATCTCCGGAGCTGAGACAAGCAAGTGACATTCTAATATTTCTTGTGAGAGAGCCTGAGAGAGGCATCCGTCTTTTGGGGCTAGAGTTTATTTCTTCTTTTTCCGATTTAAAGGTAAGACCCTCATGCCTTTGCCAAACAGTTGAACTTGAAGTAATGTTGATAACGTCTTCTCGTGAAATAAACCACTGCCTGGAACTAGCCACTGAACTGGTCATCGAGTGTGTACACACAGCTCAGTGACACACACATTCATAGGCCTACACGCAATTCACAATCAGCCACTACTTCTACTTCTACTTCTATGGTGATACTCATCAACGCCTGTTCAGCATCTAGATGAGGATAAAGCATAGAGTTGTATAATTATACAGCTCTATGCGGTACAGTTCCTGAAAAGGGAACTAAATTGTTTCAAGAGCCACCTTGAACTGCTCCAAGTCCAAAGAGGGCAGTTCAACGATGATTTGAGGTAGCTCGTCCCAGTCCTTAAGTGTCCTGGGGAAATAACTAAATTTGTAAGAGTCCATTGAAGAGCCTAGTCTCATATATCGTTGTTGTTGACTCCTCCTTGTAGTGCGCTGCCACTAGTCTAGGCCTACGTACAAATGAGCAGTGGCTTATTTTACGAGAATATCTATTTACAGGCCTTAAATTTCGTCATTTTTAGGGCAAGGCCAGTTTGGCCTCGAGTTTGGCACGTGCCCCCCCTAAAATTTCCAGGATCGGTTGAAATTTTGTAGACCCCTTTTTTTGACCTCGATCGATTACATGTACGTGCCCCCCCAAACACCAAACTCTGGCTACGCGCCTGCAAACAAGGCGGCGGCCCGCAAGCCTTAGATTTAGCAGCCAGGAGCACTGAGGGGCAATTTTTTTTTTAAGTTGCCCTTTGCCACGGGAATTTACCAGAGCAAGGGGCAATTTTCCAAAAACAGATAGGCCGCTTATCTAATCATAAGTTCAAAGAGAGTCTACAAATGTTAATTTCATAATGTGAATAGATCGAACGATCAATTTAATAACTTTTTAATCTTAACAATATGAACAGGAAATATTGATTAAGAACATCAAACTTGCACATTAAACAGTATTTTAAAGTAACTAAAAATATTGATGAGCAAATGAATAAATAAATTGTCAATTTCACAAACATCGAACGTCAGAAGGACTTAATTGGCAAGTTTACCGGGCCGGGTATTCCAAATCAAAATCGCACCTCACACACAAACCTTCCGCCACTCTCTCGGTAGTAGGAGCAAATTTGAAGAAATTATCTTTTTAACTGTTGTATAGAAAGGTCTACATAGGCCTAACTAATGAAATAAGATGTAAAAATGTCCTTATAGACATTCGACAGCTGAAAGTGACACGCTCAGCTCAGTTGCGTAACGTGCATTCACGAAACCAAAATCGTTCCTCGCACACACACTCTCGCCACTTTTGGTGGGAAGCTGTCGGGCTGGAAGTTTGCCAGCGAAACCGATGCACCCTCGGAATTTTACCGGGACTCGAAACGTTCGTCTTGGGAAGCTGGCGGGGTAGCTTTTTGAAGCGAGGTTGGCTGGTGGCAAAATGAGAGTAACTACGATCGAGAACATCGTAGGTGTTCTTAACTTATTAATAAGATAATTCTAAATTCTATTTGAGATAAAATAATAAACTAGGCCTAGTCTACAAACAAACCTCGACAGATCTCTAACGACTATTTGAATGCTTGTTTATTTCTCCATTTGACGATTTGTTTTCTTGATCCTGGCCTTCGATTTGTTCGTACGTGCGTGCGTCAACAGCATGCACCATATGCACATCATGCGATCGCATAATATGAACGTACGTACGTACGTGCGCTAGCGCATTGCCTATATAATAACAAAGGGCGCATTTTCACGGCACTTGCGCCTTATTAAAGCACTAAATACGAAGCTAGAAGAGAGCTCGTGGGCGGCAAACTGTTCGTGATTCGTGTATTTTTACTGTTCTAATAATTTATGGGCGCATTTTCACGGAAAACACTTGCGCCTTGCCGTCTAGTTTTAGATGATTATGGGCGCAATTGGTGGTTTTATGTGCGCAAATTTAAAATAAAAAGGGCACGTCCAGTTGGAAAAAAGGCACGTCGGCCAGTTGGAAAAAAAGGGCACGGCCTTTTTGGCCGTGAATATATCTTTTTTTGGGAGGGCACCGCGGCCAGTCATAGGGGCATCGACGGCCTGGCCGTCGATGGCCGTCGATTAATTTAAGGCCTGTATTTATGGTATCTACGGTATCTTGAATCATACGTTGAAATTTAGAATTGGATTGGTATTGGTCATTGGTAATTGAGTAGTAGATATGTTGATGATTACCCCGAATTGTCTGTCTCTTTCGTACGTTAGCCTCTGAGTCTGATTTGGGTAGGGTGGGCTCTTCTCTCTTTCCTCTCTTTAGAGAGGAGCCGACCCTACCCAAATCAGAGGCTTACGAACGAAAGAGACAGAAAATTCGGGCTAGTTGATGATGTGATGATGATGATTGAGATACCATAGTACATACATGTAACTTAATTGTAACTAACTTGAATCTGGTAATCAAAATAATATTACAAAAAATTGAGACAAGAGAGCTAGAGAATGAATTGACATGAGAGAAGTGTCTCAGTGAATTGTCATTTATTTGATTAAACAGAAGATCGAGTTCTGGAAAACGTAAAGTATTTGTGAGCTGTTTTATTCATTTGTTTTTAATTGTGGAACACTGGTAAGTAACTACAGTTGTAAGTAAGATTGATTTTCAAGTACCATTCTCAACCCAAACTGTACCTGAGCATTCATGTATAGTAACTGGAAATAGAGGGGGAGTAGTATAATAAGGGTTATTTTGGTTCAGATGGTTGCCAACTTGTCACTGCACTCTTCACTGGGGAAGAGAGTGGCAAATGTAGAGTAATTATATGTCTTGCTAAAGGATAGGATGTGGTGGAACTATATAACCACATAATGTGATCCACTAGACAATGACACAGCTACAGTACAAGGATTTCACCCATACGAGTACACCAGTAATTCATTGACTTATCCAACATACATTTGACATATGTATACAGTAGAGAGCCAATGAATGCCACTTTATCAGTTTGAAGACAAACATAAAGGAATACGATTTACTAATCTCCTCTTTTCCTAACCTGCATGATTTCCGCTGTTTCTCATTTTTGGAGACCCAAAGATAAACTTTACCAGTAAGTTATGTTGAAATAATAGGCATACACTGTATTAGGCAAGGGTGCTGTACTCCTGAAGAATTTTGAATTGAGATATATTTGGCAGCAAGATTCCTAAAGCTACAGTCCCATATACGTCCCGGACCGTCCCGGACCATCCCGGACCCCATCCGGGGTGATCCGGGATTCGGTCCGTGTTGACACCGTGTTGGCACCGGGGTGGTCCTGGATGGTCCTGGATGGTCCTGGATGGTCCTGGGCGGTCCGGGAGTCGACCCCGGATGTTTTTGACGGTCAAAAACTGCCGGGGTGGTCCGGGACAATAGTTTGATCCGGGGTGATCCGTGTAGCCACCGTGCTGGGTCCGGGGTCATCCGTAGTGGCGCCGGGGCGGTCCGTGTTGATCCGTGGCAGTCCGGGAGTGAGTTATTGACCGCCCAGGACCATCCAGGACCATCCAGGACCATCCAGGACCATCCAGGACCACCCCGGTGCCAACACGGTGTCAACACGGACCGAATCCCGGATCACCCCGGATGGGGTCCGGGATGGTCCGGGACGGTCCGGGACGTATATGGGACTGTAGCTTTTAAAGCATCACACTTTTTTTAACAAAACATCCCGGACCATCCCGGATCACCCCAGACCATGGTCCGGGATGGTCCGGAGTGGTCCGTGCTCGTCCGTGCTGGTCCAGCTTTATATGGGACTGGGGCTTAAAGTTTGCCATATTCAGGCAGAAAATGACCGAATATAAATCATATCTTTTCTACTTTTTTTTATACAAAATATAATTTCAAAGGTTTTCCCTCTGTATTAAAATTTATAAGTTACAAATACATCTAGTGTAGGCCTATGATGAGTGTATGATGTTTTTCTTTCATTAAGTGTCTATTTTCTCGCTTGCTTTGCTCGCTCACCAATTCAACAAGCAGGATAATCTCTGGCTGGGCTCTGTAAAAGACGAAAATACAGGTTGAAAATAAAAGAAACGTCATCAATTACATGTACAGTATGAGTTTTTGCCCACAGGGCTTTACCAGTAAATGATTTTGTATATACCGTACATCATCAACATAGCAATGCAAAACAGTGCACTAAAAAGTGTGACACGCAATCCTACATGTATAGCAGTGCAACAAAGCGATTGTAACGTAGGAGAGTGTAGTAAAGAGAAATGAAAGAGAAGAAGGGAAAGAAAAATAGAAAAAAATAGAGAAACAAATGATAGCAGAACAGAAAACAAGAGAAGGAAGAGGGAGAAAGTGAGAATCAAAGAAGCTACAGAAAATGTAAAAGGAGCATGGAGGGATGGGGGGGGGGGGTGGAATAGAGAGAAAGAAAAAGGGAAACAAAAAAGGAAAGAGAGAGAAGAGAAACATAAAGGGAAAAGGGTTTTTAAAAAAAAAGGGAGCAGGTAAAAAGAGGTTAACAAAAAAACAGAGGGGAGGAAGAGAAATGGAGAAAAAGAAGACAAAAAAGAAAGGCAGTTGATTTGATACTGCAAATATCACATGTTTTAGGAAAAGAGTGAGATTAGGAACTTGTGATGTACAGGTGAATACAAAAATTCAGACCCCTGTTATAATGCAAGGACATGTGTATTTTATGAAAATGGTTAAAAAATATACTGGTAGTTCAGTAAAGTATAAGCGATAGTTTTCATTAAAAATACTTTTCAAAGTCGTTATGTG